TATATTTAAAATTTATTTACATTTATTTTCATTTTTGGAAAAAAGTGTTTGGCCCAGCTGATACCAAGTGACAGTGCAGCAAAGCACAGGTCAGCTGCCCCCCCATCTCTCCCCACACATGAGATGAAATCAGTCCCCAGTGCTGGGATTAAATCCCCTTCTTCCCTCGTGCACAGAGCCCGTGTAACAGTCCTCAGGGTCAGTGGAGTTGCAGTTGCTTGCAGTGCTTTATCCAGACTTGGCTGTAATGTGGTTTGCATATTTCTCTCTTTGCTTTTCCACTATTTCCAAATGCCAGTCCCTTCAAACATTGCTTCATTTTGAGTTGCCGTGACTTTGGGCTTGAACTCCCAACGCTACATTCGATCCCTGCATGACAGGGCTGAACTGTTCTGGAAATAAATGCATGACTTTCTCAAAAGACATTATATATCAGGACAGCAGCAAAAATAAGTAAGGCATTACTCCGTGGCCTTTCGGTGACTTAATCATTCATCTGTAGCTTCACAGTCTGTGTGCTTCGGGCTGGCTGTGGCTATAGATGATTTCTCAAAACCCAGAAGAAGGCTTCAAGTCAGAGAAACAGGAAAAATATAACTTTTTATTGGCGCAGCGCGATGATTTCCTGGCAGTGGAGTTACATTTTATATAGCCTCCTTATTATTCTTCTGAATAAGCCTTTATATCCACTTGGATGGAAGCGAGGCTGCATAAATATACCATTTGAACATATATAATACCTTCTAGACTTGAACTCAGTAAAATGGAGGCACCTGGAAAAATATTAGCTCGCGGAACTTGCTTACTGTGCAGGTATCCTTGTTATAAAAATAACCTGTGTTGAACTGCAGGGACAGGCAGGAGCTGTCACCCTGCTCCATGATGGGCTGGTGGCCACGATGCCAACACCAGGTCCCCTGTAGAAATGGGCTAAAGAGCAGATTTAGGTTTTTCCTACATGGCCAGAGGCAGAGTTTGCAGCAGCAGAGGCTGTTTGCCAGCAGCACACGTGCTGGAGTGGCTGGGAGGGACAGAGGGATGGAGGCTGTGGGAATGTGAGGAATTCAGCTGTGAGGGTCCCTCTGCGCCCCGGTACAGGAGAAGGAGGAGGAGGAGGAGGAGGGAGGTCACACAGCCCACAAATGGTGCTGAAATGAGAATTGGCAGCGGGCTTTACTGGAGGATTTATAGAGGTGCTTGGTCACACACCAGTCCCAGACCTGCTCGGGTGGTGGTTGTCTCCACGTGCTGTTGCAGTTGGCAGGTTGGGTTTGGAGAACACCAAATCCAAAATGAAAACAAACAAATGAACAAACGTATTCACAGCTTTCAGGTCCCTTGCTGGGGTTCAGTGTCAGAGCGGTGTCCAGAGCCACCTTGCAAGGGCAGCACATCCTCCCTCCGCAGCCGTGCGTGCCCCGGCTGATGTTATCCTCCAGCTGCCCGTTACCCCACGCAACGTCCCCATCATTTCTCTCCATATCTCAAATCAAAGGAGCTATTGAGCTCACGGCCCATAGTGACCTTCCTGTTGAGCTTCCCCTGGGAGTCAGCGGGCTTGAGTTTGTGCGGAGGCGTGGGGAGGAGCGTGAGGACACGAGTTCTCTGAGATGGCAGCTTCACCCTCCCCTTCATCCACCAAAACCATCTCTACATGATCCCACCCAGCTGGGACCACACCAGTGCTCAGGCAGGGCGGGCACGAGGGGCAAATCTCTGCTGACTTGTCCCCTCTCCATCCTTACATTAATTTTCACCGCTTTTCTGCCTAAGAAATTGTGCATGTGGGGTTTTTTTTTTTGCTTGAACTTTGGTTTGCAGTTAATTTACACTTTTTCTTTGCTTTGTTGCCATATTTCTGATTGCTTTTTTTTCTTTCTGCCTTTTTTTCTTCCTTTTTTTTTTTTTCCTCCTTCTCGCCTTGCCATCTACAGCCAGGCTATGTAAGAGACTTGGTAAGTGACAAGCAACAATAAAATGTAAGATAAATTTAAGGTAAAACTTAAAATAGTCTATAACCCCTTTGGTTTCGAGAGCAGCAATGAAAAGACTAACAAAACCTACACCTTCCCCGAGAAATTTGGGCCCTGTTTGGTTTTTATAATGGTCCCCAGTGATTTATGCTGCGAAACTGGAAACCCTACACCAGAAATTTACCCCGCTGTTTGCTCACATCCTGCACGTCTTAAACGAAACGAGCCCGAGCGGTTCTTTGCCTCCAGACAACTCAGATCTATAATTTGCTTTTATACGTCTGGAGATGATAGGAAGCAAAAGCAGCTCCACGTTTATCAGCCGTGGTCGCAGTCGTAGCTGAAATAAAACCTCAGGGTAGAAATGACCGATTAATCTGCGTCGTTTGGCTCCCAAACGCCTCCCGAGTCGTTAGCCACTCGTGTGACAGTTGTGATGCTGCTAACGAACCCCCTCGCTAACGAACCCCCTCACCTAAAGCTGGTGTGTCTCGCCGCCCGCAGATCACGGCACGCATCCTGGAAGCCCACCAGAACGTGGCTCAGATGAGTCTCATCGAGGCGAAGATGAGGTTTATTCAAGCTTGGCAGTCGCTGCCGGAGTTTGGCATCACACATTTCATTGCAAGGTCAGTGGGTTTGCTGGGCAGAAGAAGGGGAATTTAATGAATAAATACTCAGAATATGTTAAATACACAGAATATGTTAAATACATAGCTGGGGAAGGACTTTTCATAAGGGCAGTTAATGACAAAACAAGGGGAAATGGGTTTAAGCTGAAAGAGGGGAGGTTTAGATGAGATATTAGGAAGAAGTTCTTCACTGTGAGGGTGGTGAGACACTGGAACAGGTTGCCCAAGGACGTTGTAGATGCCCCCTCCCTGGAAGTGTTGAAGGCCAGGTTGGATGAGGCTTTGAGCAACCTGTTCTAGTGGAAGGTGTCCCTGCTGCTGGCAGGGGGGTTGGAACTGGATGATCTTTAAGGTCCCTTCCAATCCAAGCCATTTGATGATTCTATGATCCTTAGCTGTGGAAGTTGTGCTGGAACTGAAATTAAAAGCATTCATTGCATCCACTTACAAAACTGATTAGATAAGTGAACTCAGCAGGATTTAACCCACGTAGCCGTGTCTCGTGGACGTGCATTTATTAATCCCTCGCCGTGTCACAGGTTCCAGGGGGGCAAGAAGGAGGAGCTGATCGGCATCGCCTACAACCGGCTGATACGGATGGACGCGAGCACAGGCGACGCCGTCAAAACTTGGAGGTTCAGCAACATGAAGCAGTGGAACGTGAACTGGGAGATTAAAATGGTGAGATTAAAATGATTTTACATCTCGGCTCCTTCCCCAACTTGCAGTACATGAGCTGGATGCTGCTTTGGGGGTGTTTTTAAGTTGACTTTGTAAATCAGTTTTTAAAAAGTCAGGTTTTGCCATGGCTGTTTTCTAAAGCGTGTCCCATCCAGCTGCTTTTGTGTGATATGGTTTCTCCTCTCTCCCCTCTTCTACCCTTCTTGGAGATCTAGCAGAGTTTATCTTGATTTTTGATGGAGTTGAGGATGACCCTTAAAAAGAAGAAAAAAAAAACCCTGAATCTTTCTTTAATGCAGCCTGTTAGGATTTTCTCTGGTCTCTGAACACCCGCTCAAAGGCATCTCAGTAAAATCAAACATCAGACCCGATGCTCAGGCTTGATCTTAACCAGCAACATAAATACACTGGGCCTTATCTGTACTAAAATCCATTTTCTTTGCAGTACAGCTCTGATTTTCACATAACTAATGACAAGCAAGAGCAGACCCTTCACTAGGCTCCGAGATGGGTTTTTACCCAACCGTTACGTTTGGATGCACAAACGTTCTGTGCTCCTTTTCAACACAACAACCCAATGAAAATTGCCAGGGATACGTGAGGGCTTTTCTCCTGCGGTTTGCAGCTCGTTTAAGAGTTGCTGGAAAAATTATTCAGCTTCCCCTTTGCCTCAGAGACTTTGTCTTGACCCAGTTGCAAGCCTCGATATCCCAATTATTTAGCTGGGATACTCTGCTGAGAATCCCCCTTCCCTCCCGCAGAGCTGTCAGTGATGAGGGGACAAAAAAATAACCGGCATCAATAAATGGACAATCTGTTCAGTCACTGCAAAACGAGCTTCCCCAGCCCCCACAAAGCATTTCTGCAGCCAAACTTCAACTTAATGAAACCAGAATGCACTCGCTGAGAAAACTGGAAAGAAATTCCAGCCCTTGACAGGTCTGTGCCCAGTCTCTGTTTCATTTGAAGGAAAGAGATTGTCACCATGTGCTCACTGCTGAGAAGTGCAAACACGCTGCTGGGTAATTATCTCTGAGTCACAGGAGAATAAAAAGTTTAATGATCATTAAAATAAATAAAGGGAACAGGTTGCCCAAGGAAGTTGTGGCTGCTCCTCCCTGGAAGTGTTTAAGGCCAGGCTGGATGAGGCTTTGAGCAACCTGGTCTAGTGGAAGGTGTCCCTGCTGATGGCAGGGGGGTTGGGACTGGATGAGCTTTAAGGTCCCTTCCAATCCAGACCATTCTATGATTCTATGATTAAATTAAAATGTGAATTTAAAAAAAAAATAATTTTTAAAAGCAATAAGAAGTATTTCTGTATCTAAACACTGTAACAATAATCACTGCATCATAGAATCATAGAATATCTCAAGTTGGAAGGGACTCACAAGGATCATCAAGTCCAAATCATCCTGGTTTTTGCTGAGGCAACAGAAAAGGCATCTGGTTTAAGAGAAAAAGGAAAAAATGAGGCAGAAAGGAAGAGCCCGTGTCAGCGTAACTGCTTTGGGAAGACGCCAGCCAGGCTCACCCCTGGTGTGTGGTTTTACCTTCTAGGTGACGGTGGAGTTTGCAGATGACGTCCGGGTGTCCTTCATTTGCACGGAGGTGGATTGCAAAGTGGTTCACGAGTTCATCGGCGGTTACATCTTCTTGTCGACGCGAGCCAAAGATCAGAACGAGAGTTTAGATGAAGAGATGTTCTACAAACTGACCAGTGGTTGGGTGTGAGTCCCATGTACTGTTACACCGAGAGGAAACCCCATGGCCATATTAATATTTAACTTTAAAAAGCTGTTCTTTGAAATATGCTGCTTAATAAAGTAAGCTTGAAATGTATCTTTTTTTAAAAAAAAAAAATCTTTTTTTTTTTTTTTTAAATCATGAAAAATTTTTGCCTTACCTGACCAGTTAATCTGTGTGCACTAATGAGCACTTCTATTAATTTGCTATAACAAAGACTGTATCTGGGCTGGGTGATCCTGCCATTGGCTTTTAGATACAGACTCTGATGGGCAGATCAAGATCAGATTTGACTGACTTAAAATAGCCAATTTCCTAAGAGAACTCTAAGCCATCTTCTTCTGAAGCCATCCAGGGCTTAACCTATATGAAGTCTATTTATCATGTTTAATGCATGAGTGTTTTGGGTTGTTTTCTTTTTTTGTGTGTGGTTTTTTTTTTGTTGTATTCTGTACATTTGACCTGTTTTGAAGTCGTCCTACCCATAAGTAGACTTGCCATCTCTCTTTTCACACTACATGCACCGGGGACTGCTACAGGGTGCTTGACATGACTTTGAAGAGAGTTACGTGTGGCCTTGAAGATGATCTTCTGTTAGTCTGTTATAGCTTGGTTTTATTTGTTAAGTTGCCTTTTGATAATCATTTATATTGTCTTTTTTTTTTAATTTTAATTTTATTTTATTTTTACACCATATTGTATTATGACACTTTTTAGTATTCACCAGCATAGTCACTGTTCTGCCTATGATATGCAAACTTTTTCATTACAATATGAAGTAAAGGTTTATGAAGTATAGGGGGTTTTTTTTGTGTAACTAATGTAAAAAAAAAAACAAAAACCCACAAATTTTATAAAATTGTACAGTTTTTTTTAACTAGTCTCACAAACCAGCTAGAATATTGCGTAGATCCGGTGTATCAGCATTAATTATAATATCCCTGTAAGGAGTAGGGGGAATAACCAAGAAACAAACAAATAAAACCCCACAAAAAGCCCAATTTCAATCCAGTAAATTTTTGTCTAAGTTACCAGTAAATTCTTATCTTAAGTTAATGTGGTGGATTTCAGAGCTGCACCACAATACCCTCGATAACTAAACCTGGGGCCAGGATCTCCCTGCTCTTAACGCTAACGGGGGGAACCCTTTCCTGCCCCACCTAATGCCGAGGAATAACCAGTGTTGCGTTCCTGTAGTCTGTGGTTTCAAGACTTAATGTACAAATGCATTTTATTTTAAATAAAAGTCAAATCTTTTATTTAATATTCAGCTGCCCTCTCCTGGTTTTTGTGGTTTAACTGGGTTATGGTAGAGCTGGGGAGTGAAACAGCCTCGGTACACGGGGTTCAGTTGTGTTGGTGAGAAGGAAAATTGATATAATTGTAAAGTAATTGATATAATTGATAATCAATTTTAAGGTGAAAATTGATATAATTGCAATTTTCACCTTAAAATGGTGAAATTCAGCCTGGTTCTGGGGAGGACGGAGAGGGGCAGGTGACAGCAACACCTGCAGCATCTTCCTGGGTGTGAGCTGAGTTTGCTCCTTGCAGGTGGGTGCTCAGAGCATTTCCCCATCGCTGATGCATTTTGTAGAATCACAGAATAGTTTTGGTTGGAAAAAGCCCTTTAAGCTCATCGAGTCCAATCATGAACCCAACACTGACCAGTCCCCTATGACTAACCCATGTCCCTCAGCACTATGTCTACACGACTCTTCAATCCCTCCAGGGATGGGGACTCCACCACTGCCCTGGGCAACCCCTTCCAATGCCTCAGAACCCTTTCAGCAAAGAAATTCTTCCTCACATCCCAGCTCAACTGCCCTGGCCACAACTGGAGCCCATTTCCTCTTGTCCTGTCCCTTGGGCCTTGGTTGAACAGACCCACCCCCACCTCTCTCCACCCTCCTCCAAGGGACTTGGACAGAGCCACAAGGTCTCCCCTCAGCCTCCTTTTCTCCAGGCTCAACACCCCCAGTTCCCTCAGCCACAAGGGAACTCAGCACACTTGTGCTCCAGACCCTTCCCCAGCTCCGTTGCCCTTCTCTGGACACGCTCCAGCACCTCCATGTCCTTCTTGGAGTGATGGATTTCTGCAGCAATCCTCTATTTTTTGCACCACATGCTCTTGGACAGGTTGCACCCTCACAGCGAAGGGGTGGCCCAACAATGCCAGGTGATTCCTCCCACTCCTTGGTCCCACCACAACTGGGACTGCAGCCAGAGCAGATCTGTGCTCAGAACGTGATGGGGATGTTCCCAATCTTGTCACACACCCCCAGGCTTGTTCTTTTGGGTGCTGGCAGCTCTCAGCTGCCCGGCAAGTCCAGGCAGCCCCGGGAGGCACGCGAACGGAGGAGCGGCGTGCACGCTCCTGGCAGGCGGCACCGGGATCTTGGCTGGATGCAGGAGCGGGTGAGGCACGGCAATAAAAAGCTGGGTGTGTGATGGGGAGGACTCACTGAAAAATATTTACCTCCTATTTGACAGCCTGAGGTGATGCAGAACGAGAAGGTGTAACGTGAAGAGGAATAGTGGGGAGAGAAGATGTGTCCCCCCGTCCGTCCATCCCCAGCCGCCTCCGCAGGGCTCTGCGACGCTGAATCGGGGCCTGATTTTTGCAGCTGGGGGAGGCGATAAGGCAGGAAACGCTGAGCTGAAAGGCAGAGGAGGTCGAGGAAGGGGCATGGGAAGGCAGAGGCTGCTTGTGACCGCAGACCTTCCCCATGTGGTCCCTCAAGGGTGGGAGAGGCTGAGGGGGGGGAAGCAGAGGGCGGTGTGGGAGTTTGCAGGAGCTTGGGAAGCAGCAAGGGGGTCGCAAGGGGCTTCAAGGTGATCTGAAGGAGGCTGCTGGGTTTTCTAGGATGTCTTTCCTGTTGGATGAAAAGATGCAAATAAAAAAGAGAGCTGTTGGAGTGGAGGGGGCAGAGGGATTAAAAATAAAAGTGGTGGTTTACCTGAAGTCTGGTGAAACACCAGAAAAAATACAGCACGGATGGGAACTGCCTCACGGGGATGAGGATGGAGCAGGAGGAGCACGTTGCAGGAAGGTTTGGGGATGGAGGAAGGGAGAGCTGGAGCCCATGGGAGGGGATGGATGATCCCTCCCAGGGACAGGCAGCAGTGACAACAAGCTGGCACAAGGACAAGGAGGACCGGAGATGTTTGCTGTCGCTGTTCCTCCTGTAGTCGTCAGATGTCACTGGGGGGGT